GATCAAGGGAATGTGAAAACTACATTAGATTTTGAGATAGACTGGAAAGTAGGCATAATTTGTTCACCCTGAAGGCATGCACAAATGCTTCTATATATTGTCTTTGCAAATAATGCAGATCCACATAGCATTTCCACAATACGATACATGTGACTGCACATGGCGGTGCCCCTTTAATTTCCATAGAAAACTGCATGATGTATACACAAACAATGAAGGCAAATTCAAACCTAATGGTGGAGGTGGTGACAGCTTTTAGGACTATTTAAAGTGGAATTCAAGTCTAAAACTAGTTCCAACACTTATATTAACTACCCCGTAAAAGGAAGATGCTTATGGTTACCTATACTCACATGATGGACTCCCAGCAGCCGACTTCAGGGTAGAAGAGGGTCAGACAACAATGGATGCCCCATAGCAAGCCTATGGGTAACATCACTGCTCAGGAAATTCATGCGTCATCAGCAATCTCTCCTCTCCCATGAATCCAGCCATTGGGAGCTCATCACGTGACTGGATCAGAGTGCTCTGAGAATAGATAAGTATATGCATCTTCCTTATACAGGATAGTTAGGGTTCATTCACACCTGACTTTATTTCTAACTCTTGCCAAATGCCCCTATAGCGTTTTACAGGCGTTTGGGAAGCGTTTTAACGCTCCCAAACACCCCCTATGCGTGGTTTTGAGGCAGTTGATTTTCCAAGCGTTAAAACAGCACCACAAACTCCTATAATGAAGTTAAATTGTATTAACACTCCACAACCGCACCGCAAACACCTGCCAGGCGTTTTCGGAGAGAAACCATAGACTTGAATGGGAGGCTTCAACTCTAGCTGACTCGACATGAGGCATCAGTGTTGCTGCAACACTAATGCTTACGTGTGAAAAGCACTGTGTGCTGCCATGTGCAGAATTTTCATAGGCTGTCTGATGCCTGCTGACAAAGCTAGTGTGAACATAGCCTTAGCATAGGAGTTAGAAGGAGGGTGGGAGCCATTTTAAGATTATTTAGTTCTAGAATTTCTTTAAAAGGATAAGTTCACCATTGTAAAAAAAATAATAAATGCACATCTTTTTGCAGTTAAAAAAAAAAAAGTGCATTTATTATTTTTTTTTAGGAGCATGTAAAGCATTGCACCAGTGATCAGCAGATCGTTGAAATCTCAGGGTCTTGCAGACTGTCAATGTAGCTGTCTATGGGCAGGCAGGTAGCATCAATTAACTACCTAGAACACTCATCAGTAGTGATGAGCTGCATGTTCAAGTCAAACACAAGTTCATCACGAACATGGACCGTTCATGTGTTTGTTGAACACACGAATGGTACAGGCGTTCAGTGGGCTATTTGCCCACCGTGCCCCACAATGCACTGCACCCTGACAGTGCATTGTGATTGGCCAAAGCATTGCAGGTTCAGAATGGTGGGGTGGGGGGGGGGGGGGGGGCACTCACTTGTCCCCCCCCCCCCTTACCTGACCTGCTTGGATAAGGGCTTGGAATGGATGGGAGGGGGGACCCTATGCCATTTTTTTTAAATTGTGGGGCTATTCCAACAATTCATTTTACATTCAGCTGTCAGCAGCGAACCACGCTGACAGCTGAAACATGAAAGAATGTTTCACTACTAAAATACCATGACCTAATAATAAAACTCAAGAGGTATTTTAGAAACTGAGCAGTATCTTACCGCATACTCAGATTAGATAAGATACCACTAGTAAATTGTCCCTGTTCGAAGTTCACAATCAAACTTTTGGTAGTTTCAAATGTTCGACCATGAATCGAACAGGGGGGTGTTCAGCCCATCACTACTCATCAGCTGATAGTTCATTGAGAACTTAGATTGTACACCCCTTGAGGGTTAGGGACTGATGTGAATGTTCAATATATATGTGTAAAGCGCTGCGTAAATTGACAGCGCTATATAAGTACCTAAAATAAATAAATATTAAATAACTGCAAGCCGTAAGCCGCAGTGTCTGATGGTAGTTGTAGTTCTTCCATTCACAGAACTCTGTGAATGAATGACACGACTGGGTAGATGGAGCCCCACATGGCTGCATTTTTAAAAAAAATTATGACAGCAGGTACAGGGAAAAGATCCCAGCCTGCTGTCACAACGGGGTTGGGTGGGTGCAGGGGATGCTACATCAGTAACATGTTACACCCTGAATACTGATGTAACATGTTGGGAAACACAAATGCATCTTTTAAGTTCATATCCCATTGAAACTAACAGGCCTTTTTTACTAAAATAACCAGAAAAGCTGAACTCCAGATAGAAACCCAGATATGACCCCTCATCACTGTGCTGCACATATCCTGTTCAGAGATTGGAGCTGTGGAAGGCACCCAGCAGTCCCACTAAGTATAGGCTGCCTGCAGAAAAATTACAGGAGCGGAATACAAGACCAGTCACCTTGCAGAATTAGAGAGAACAACAGAGTTTGGTCCCTATTATAAGATGCTCCACTGGTGAAAAGTACAGTTGTTTCATGCTGGTTTATACACAAAGGACACCAAGATTCAACCAACAATATGCATGCCTCTTGTATTCAGGCAAACCAATATTGTCTGGAGTTCAACGTAAAAGACTATCTAAACTCTCAAACAAAAATGTAATATATTGTATATTGCAGCTTACCAATAATAATTAGATGTGATGGCTGTATTAGTTTTTTTTTTATACAGTTGTTCTCTTTATTTTCACCTGCTGATTGTGCTACAGTGTTAATTTTGTTGACAAAAATATTTTTGACATAGGTTTTGTTAGCTGCATGTTTTCAGTGACAAAAACTAAAACTAAATAAAAGTTCAGTTTCAATTCAGAGGACTAAAATATGACTCAATCTAAAATTGCATTTTAGTCAAAAGACTGACTAAACCTAAAGCAAAAATTTGATGTAAAAATTAAAGCGATTCTAAAGGTTTTTTTTTTTTTTTTTTTAATATCAAACATGTCTTTATTTTCCTGGTTTTGCACAGAGCAGCCTGGATCCTCTTATCGGGTCCTCCGCAGGCTCTCCCGGCTCCTCCTGTCGGGTGCCCCAACAGCAAGCAGCTTGCTATGGTGGCACCCGCTGCTCCGTGTGTCAAATCACACATGGAGCCATGGCTTGACCCTGCCCCATCTCTTCTCATTGGCCAATGGCTCCCGATTGCTGTCTCAGCCAATAGGGAGGCAGAGACCCGGGACAGCCGAGGCTGTCATGCACATCACTGGATCAGGATGAGGCTCAGGTAAGTATTGAGGGGGCTGGGAGAGCTGCTGCACACAGAAGGTTTTTTACCTTCATGCATGTAAAAAAAAAAAAAACCTTCAGCCTTTACAACCACTTTAACTGTCCTGCTATTAACACACTTCTTGTCCTAGGATGACAACATCTATGTATCTATGGAGAAGGGTTTGCACCTCTGGGTATGAAGTGTTTTAGAACTACAGAACATCTCCCATTCTCCTCATCGCCATAACATGAAGGGTGTTCTGTAGTCAACAGAAAAAGGTGGGAACAGTGCTTACTGATAAGTGCAGCATTGGCAGAGAGCACAGGAAGTTGTTAGCTGACAAGTTTTCTGGCAGGTCAATAGGCATATTGGTTTTGCACTTATCAGATAAATATACCATTTTTGTACGGTATTTTCTAACAAATCATTAGGGATCAAAACCAAAGTTCTTAGGATTTACATATACGTTAAGTTATCGATCCCTCTCTATTTCCCTTCACTTTCTGTTCTGGAAACATTTTACCAGACAGAAAGTGAGGAAAAAAATCTGTAAAAGGAGGAGCACAGACAACAATAAAATAGTTTTTAGGGGTTCTAGCATTCCCCTACTGAACTTAAAATAACAAAAGAAAAGAAAAACAAAAAAAAAAAAACCCCACTGTTTTACTCTGTGGTGTTGCGGGAGAGTTTTCTTCACTTCCCGTTTGGTGAAAATGTTGTCCCTGGGACAATAAGAGTAAGGTCTCATGCACATGGGAGTATACGAGGCCAAATAGACATATACATGTCAAGAATACACAGCTGCCACATACAGCAGATCATAGTAATGAATGGCTGTATGTGGCTGAAAGTACTGTTTACTTCCCTACTTGTATGCTAAAGCCATACATTTCTGGATGCAGACTAGTGGGTTTACACAAGTAGCAACGTACATCTGCACAGTTATTCATTACTGTGGTTGGTTGTGTATCCCAGACATCAACTTAACCTGTCTCTTGGACAGGCATAAAAACTGAAAAAGGGTTCTAATCCTTCCCAATTCTGTCCAAAAAAAAAAAAAAAAAAAAAAAAAAAAAAAAAAAAGGTATCAGCTATAAATACACTTTTTACACACATAAAATGCGATTACTAAAAGGCTGTCAACACACACTTTTTCGCTTTCTTTTTTTTGCTAGGAATAAAAAAAAAAAAAAAAAAGAAAGAAAGAATTGGAGTCAAAGAAAGGTATTTGTCGCTAAAATTCCAAGCAAACTGTACCTCTATTGCCCCAGTGTTGACTTTTTCAGCATTTGTAGATACCAGCAGAATCACCAGCTTCAGTAGACACTCATGGTACCCAATGCAGCTGCTACTAATCAGTGGCACACCAGCAATTTATGGCCACACAGATAAGCATTGTAGCAAACTACTGTGTATCAGCAACTCTGTAACTAGCTGAAAACCACCAGAGAAAATATGCAGAGAGCAGTAAAAGTAGTTATGCTCGTATCAGTCATTTTTTTTCATTGGCAAATGTTACATTGATGTATCATTTTATCTGAAAGACATGCTGCGATTGAGGCATGATAACGTGGTACAAAAGTGTATTATTGACTTCAAATAAGCAGACACCTTCTGTACATATAAACGAAGCATATATTATTGAAATGTATCAGCAGTGGTACAAAAATTCAAATAAATTATTGAAAGTATAAAACAAGTACACATATGTACGGCATTCTAGATACAAATCCACTAAATTAAAAATCTTTATTTAAAATATTAATATTAAATAGGCACTGGAAGTCACTGTACACACACACAGCGAGCTGCCTTCTTAAGCCTAAGTACCTGGAAAAATGGTTCATTTCAATACATAGGTTTAAAATGCTGGTCACAAAAATATATACAGTGATGTGATACTATTATCCAGAAGTTCCAAGGAGGTAAGAATAGTATAGAGATTCATTATTATGCAAAGCTGTAGGAGAGAACAGGTTATATTTTGACTCTGCTGCCACTCTTCTGGGGCTGCATGGGACAAAACACTTCAACTTCATGGCTCTGGAGTTTTTCTTTCAAACAGCTTTATAGTGTATACTATATAGGTGAAAACTAATCTCACTACAATCCTCCACTCAGAGGCAATTACTTCCACTATGTATGTGGTAAAACATGTCAATGCAAAGGAGTTTAGGGGCTGTTCACAACTATGCACAATAAGGCTTTTTGAAAGGCAATTGCCAGAGTGACATAGTTGGTGCGGATGTTAGTATATTTTGAGTCACTGGAGGCAGGTGGGATAAAGCCCTATCTTAGCAAACACAAACTGCTGTCAGGAGCAATCTGGAGGGGCCTTGGAGGGTTACACTAGTTCAGCTGGTGCTCAACTTCACGCTGCTACAGACATGATGGACCATATGTGTCAACATGTCCAAAGTAATAATTGGAGTTATTTATCCCTCAGCCACCAAAGATTTATTATGCTTAGGTTGAGCAGCACAACACAAGATATAAGGGGCCTTCAGAAAGCACTGAAGTCAGAGTCAGTAGGACAACCAGAATTTGCAGAGGGAACTCTGTATTAAAACCTCTGTTTTCTGTCAGTACCAGTTTTCCTTTAACTTCTTGTTGCCAACTGTACACATATATGTGCCTCACTGAAGTGTCTCTTGTTTTGTGAGACCTCCTACTTCCATATATGTTAAATAGTTACTCTGGCTGAAAAAAAAAGACAAAAATCCATCCAGTCCAACCATTAAAAAAAAAAAAAGTTATAATCCCCTTAACCACAGTTGATCCAAAGGAAGGCAACCCCCCCCCCCTTCCCCCAGCAAAGCATGATCCAATTTGCTCCTGCTGGGGAAAAATTCCTTCCTGATCCTCCAAGAGGCAATTGGATATTCCCTGGATCAACTTTACCTATAAATGTTAGTATCCAGTTATATTCTGTGTATCTAAGAAAGAATCCAGGCCTTTTTTTTTTTTTTTTTTTAAAGCAGTCCACTGAGCTGGCCAGAACCAACTCTTGAGTGAATCTATTCCACAATTTTACTGCTCTCACTGTGAAGAAAACTTTCCGTGTTTGGAGATTACATTTATTTTCCTCCAGACGTAAAGGGTGCCCCCTTGTCCTCTGCACACTTCACAGCGTGCTCCCATCATAGAGACCGGGCTTTCAGCCAGGTCTCATACTGCCGATGGGAAACAAGAAGGTCCAGTTTTTCTGACTGCCTTATCGGTATGATAGCCTCTGACTGGCTATCACAGTGATCAGTAAATATATAGCCCACCCCTACATGTGTTTTTCCCTCTTGAATGGAGAGAAAGATACATGGGCTTGGTTTAGTAAAACTGAGAGTGTAAAATCTGGTGCAGTTCTGCAACGAAACCAATCAACTTCCAGGATTTTATGTCAAAGTTGAAGTTAGAATCTGACTGGCTATCATGCACAGCTGTACCAGATGTTGTACTCTCTGGTTTTAGTAAATCAACCCCATTGTATCTTTTCCTCCATGCTAGAGAAGAAAAATTCAAACAAAAATGTGTGTGTCTAGGTCAATGTCAGGGTTAGGTTTTAGAGTCAGGGTCAAAGGTTGGGGTAAGTGTATTTTATGTAGGATTTAAAAACATTTTTTTAAATTTAGTATCAGTGTCACAATAGTGTGCATTTTGCCACACTCACACTTTCTGGGCCCTACAACAGGTACACACAATAACACACACATGTGGTATCACTGCGATTGTTAGGAGCAAGGGAACTTATTTTGGGTTTTTCTCTGGTGGCAGGTTATGGTAATAGCAAGAAATATACAGCTAGGTTTTTTTTACCATTTTGAAGCAGTTTTGCTTTGATAATGAAAAAATAGGAGTTCTCCATTACCATTTACCACCAAATGAAAGCCTAAAAAAAAAAGGTATAATTTGGATACACAAGTAGTTGTGATGATATGTACAGTTTTACTAACACATGTTAAAGTTGCAAGGACGTTCAGATTTCTTTTTACCGCTCATGAAGGGATTAACAATCCACATTTCTGTGGTATTTCTTCAAGTCCCTACTTGTACCAGTGGCTTGATTTAGCTGTAATAGGGCTAAACCAAACAAGTGCAATAGGGCAAAGTCACTGGTGATTTAGCTGCTGCAGAAACCCCAAAATGCAACTGCCACCTTCCTTATGGTTGTCACTCCCTTGAAACAGTGCAGAGTCTCAATTATATAGTGAGGAAATGGCAACACCTCACTGGTTTGGCCAGCCAGGGAGTGATGCCATATGAGAATGTGAGTAGAGTCTTAGCAACTATGCAACGTAAGTCTTAGGAACATCTGTTCATGGCTGTCACATGCATTATATACCTAGTCAACAGAATCTTTTCAGACTACGGTAGTTAATTCCATAATGATGAAAGAAAAATGGTGTGCTATAATGCATAGCAATCAACTCCACTGATGCAGCTACATGTCTTTGCACACTGTTATCGGAATGGTCGCTATAGGTAGCAGTCAAAAACAAAAACCTTTGCATTTGTTATTTTAAAACTCCAATTTCTTTATAAAGTAGAAAAAGGTAAACATAATATCCATGTATTAATTTAGCTATCATTATGGTATATACAGTAATGCAATATGTTCTAGACAAAGATTTGTCATCAAATCGCTTACATTTTGTTGATGCCTCTTCAGTTTCAGTATTTGATCACTTTTGTTTTCCATTTGTTTAACAAGGCACTCCATCTCCCGTTCTAAATCTTCACGCATATCAATGTCTTTTGTCTCATTTATTTGCTTCAATAGCTCATCATAATCACTTAGAGGTTAAAAAAAAAAATAAAACATAAATGTATAATTAAAAATAGGAATTTTGTACTCACCGCAAATCTTTTACTTGGATTACAATGAAGAACAAAAAGTCTTTCAACAGTGGGTTTATATTGCCGCCTACAGAGAGACTGGACATTGGTAAAAAACAAACTGTAGGCCAGCTCAGGATAACCCTTCTACTGCCAGTTTTGTAGAAAAGCAGTACCAAAAGCATGATCATAAAACAGAGAGCGGTGGGACCTGCGTCTCTCAATGGATGCCAAAAAAGGATTTTATGGTCCGTTCAAAAATTCTATATTTTTTTCTCATCCTTTGACAAACACAGGAAGCATTTCACCTTCAGCATAACCCAAAGCAGTCTGACTGAGGTGTGGGTAGAGAAAAACAAAAAACAGAGGGCGCGTCGCGTTTCGAGGACTAGCCTCTTCCTCAGAGGCTCTGAGGAAGAGGCTAGTCCTCGAAATGCATCAACTATTTTGGATGTCCATCATTCTCATCACCATTCAGAAATGCAGTGCGAATTGGACAGAGCGGTCTCATATGATGTGCTTATTTTTCATTTACTTTTGTGAGTAGAATACCTTCTTTTAAATTTAATAAACATATTTTTAAAGGTAATGCACAAGGCCGATGCACCCTCTGTTTTGTTTTTCTCTACTAGTACTACTTTTTCTCTACTAGTTATTTGAGGGCAGCAAGGCGTACATATTCCAAGACATTCGTTGTGTGATCCCTATGACAGAGTCCATCCCTGAGCGCATGAGTATTTGGGTTTTCCACTTTCACATGACTGAGGTGTGGGCAGCACAGCAATACTAGCAGGCCACAAAAAATACAACAGAGAACATGGGACTACCTACAGTTAAAAGAGACACTTGAAGAACCTTAATGCCCAGAAGCTGGCATCATGTAAGGGTGAAACTTCTATTTTGAAGAACTTGGAGAAGATGTAAGAATAGAACAGCAGAAGGCAGTCTTGCAAACCTGGAAAAACAGTTGCTTGATACCAAAAAGCCCAAGAAGCACTCACAGATCTAGTAGAATGCATCTTCACAGGAAAAGGTTAAAACCCAATCCTTGAACCTATGAACTTAGATGATTGTCTGCCTGAGCCAACAAGAGAAGCTGGTGCACTCTTTTGGGGCTCCTAAAAGATTACACAGAGGGAATCAGTTTTCGTAAAGGAAGTTGTAGCTCAGAGATAGACTCTCGCAGCCAAAATCCACATCAAGACAATGAAGGGAAAGTTCCCTTTGGTGAACTGTGGCTGGACAGAGGAAAGGAAGAACAATGTTGTGGCTGAGATGAAAGACAGAAACCACCTGGGCATCAAGGCCACTGTGTCCCTATGCAAAACCAGAAAGAGTTCTTTGCAGGATAAGGCCACCAATTCAGACACTCGCCTTACAGAAATGATGGCTACAAGGAATACAACCTTGTGGGTTAGAGTAGAGAGAAGAATGTCTTTTATGGGTAAGAAATGGCAGTTTCTGGAGCCCAGAGAGAACCAGATACAGATCCCATGGAGTTTCAGGGGAATAAACAGGAGAAGCTACATAGGAACCGCCTTTAAAAAAGCCTTAAAAAGAGAAGTTTGGGAATAAAAAAAAAAGTGTCACACTCATCTAGGTGGCGGCAGCATCGGTCTGATGCTGCATTTTTCACCCACCATCTCTAAGACCAAGAACTGAGTGATCAAAGACCACTAACCACTTGGTTCTCAGTCTTTGCTGCCCCTCCAGCGCCGACTGAAATGCTGGGCTATGGAGGGGCAGAAGTGGCTGGCTCAGGCTCTCAGCGGTTCTTTGCCACTGGTCCAGGCATCTGGGATGGATCCAGACTAACATTGGAATCAATCCACAGCCTGTTCCAGCTGAGTGCCGTCAGCCAACAGTGGACTTTAGCCCGCTGTCAGCTGAAAATGGGTCACAGGAGAGCAGAACAAAATGCACTCCTGTGACCCACAGGAGAAGTAGGGACTTGGACCTTAAATTAATTAAGGAGTGAGATGCCAGCGGTCTTGGAAACAGTGAAGAAAGGGCAGAGATCTAGCCCATGGCAGTGCTGAGAAGCAAGCATTGGCTCTTGCCCAAATGTGGTAAGGAGAGGATTTGTCTCAGAGAAACATTCAGCGTGGAAGCCTTTGAAACTCAAATCAAGTGATGTATGCCTTCCACCTCTGACAATAAACCTTAAGGGAAGTAGCCTTACTAGCTTCTAGCATTGTACAAATCACAGATTCTGAGATGTCCTTGTCTCTCAAAACCTGGGCTTCATTAACAATACAATTAAAGCCAGCGAGCATGAATTAGGATGGCAAATTCATCCTTGAAATAAAAAATCCAGATGATGTGGAAGAGCCCACAGAAAGTCTGTCTAGAATCTTACCAGGCCAATGCACCAAATCTGCATGGGTCTGTCCAGAGCAATGAGGACTACCGTAATGTCCTCCTTCCCCATCTACTTCACAGGATTGAGATGAAGTTTCAAGGAAGCAAAAGGCACAGATCAGGTTGTGTTGACCTCATCGCCTGACCTGACCACCAGAGCATCCAAGTCTTCCACTAGTGGATATCTGTACCTGAAAATAAACCTGTCCAGCTTGTTGCTGAACCTGGAGGACAAAAGGTTTACACTGGAATCCCCCACCTGCAATACTGTTCCTGGAACACCTCTAAGTATAGGTACCACTTACCAAGATCCAGGCGCTATCAGCTAAAGTATGCCTGACAATTGTCCACACTTCTGATGTACATGGCAGACAAGGCAGCAATGTGAAGATCTGACCAGGAAATCAACTAGTCTACCGCTCTAAAAAGTAGCAAGACTCTTCTGGTTCCTCCCTGATGGTTGATGTACAGCATTGTTGTTGCATTGACCGAATGAATTCAAATTGGATGACCTACAAGAGGGATGGTACAACTCTGCAGAGACAGACAAATTTCCCAAAATATCAGGACGAAGACAGGGAGATTAAACTCCTCCAACAACCAAGTTTCCTGCATCAACGGGGTTCACATGACTCCTCTCCTGCCCTGCAGGCTGGCATCCATCCTGAAGATCTTTCAGAAAACAGAAGAAAGAACTTCCCTGAAGCCAGAGTGAGTCCTGGCCCTTGGCGACAAATTAATTGGACTTTATTGACTGCCCCACAATGACAGAATGTTATGTTGTAGTGGTTTTAAGTGAAACTGGGCAAATGGAACAGACTTGAAGGAGGCTACCATCAGGGCAAGATTTACATGCAAATGCTAGGAGTTTTATGGCTCCTGGACTGGAGAGCTCAAATCTAAGATTGGAGAGTCAAAGTATCTCCTGTGGAACAAACACTCTGGTCTAAGCTGTGTCCAGAACTACACCCACCCAGATACTCCAAATAATGAGTCACACCAGCACCAATTTTGTAGTCCTTGGATACCGCCTCCTGCACCCAATCCTTGAGATGCAAGCTGCCCAAGTGTCCACAAAAGTTAACAAATGTACCCCCACTCTGAGTGTCTGAGTATTTGGCATACTTTACACTAAGAGGGATCTCCATGTGGATGATGCAGAAGTGGAGAAACAAATGCATTGTATCTTAAATAAAGAGGGAGAAAACTTTGCAGTCTGTTCCTCAGAACTCTTCTGCTGTGAATGATGAGTGTTCTTGCCACCATAATGGTATTAGGAGTAGATTTGAAGTCCCTGAATGTCGATCAGACTCTGCTTGGACACGGGTCTACAGTCAACACTGATGTGGCTCTTTCATGACTATAGTAAAAGCCTCAATCAAAAATGGTAAAGCAAATCAGTCACACCTGATGGAGCTAAGCAGAACTCCAATGACGGATTAGATTCTAGACACAGAGAGTAACAAGGTTCCAGGCTGCAGGCATCGGCACCATCTGTAGTGCTGCTGCAAGCAGCCCTGGAGTTGTTAATATAGTGTAATCTTGGGGGCACGTGTTACAGCGGGACTGCCCCTCACACCAGATCAAGATACGTTGCTAATCAGAATGCTATACTGCGGTAAGGCAACATATAGGCCTTAGATACAAAACTCAGACATCAGATAGAAGATGAAGGTCAGATGGGCAGTGAAGATCAAAGTCACTGTAGGCAGACAAGAACGGATTGAAGATCAAAGTTCCACATGACTCTTTGCATCCAGGAGTAGCAGTGGAGGAATGCTCCTGCAACACTGTATAATAAAGAGAAAGCAAAAGTGTTATGCTCCACCCAACAGATGATGTAAACCCTCAGTCCCACAGCGTTAATCCCTTCTGTATCAAAATCAACAGGAAGCAGGAAATTTTAAAAGGTGCCAAGTGACTTATGTAATTGTGACATATCCCGATGTTTGTCCAGACTGGCTTATTTACAAACTAAGTGTTCAGAGACAGGGCAGGCCCTGAGACAATGCCAGCTGCTCTGGTGCCTGGAAAGTACTTCTCAGCTAACTTGTTACTAAAAATGGTGCACTAGCAAAAATAGGTTAGTCTTCCACACAGCTGAGCTGAACAAATGTCCATTCTATTAGGACACTAGCCAAATACGGAGGCATGCTGGTAGTAGCAGAGGGTTATCTTCGGTTGGCCTTCAGCGGGGGGCAGGAACCCATAGTTCGCGATCTACAAGTAGATCACGGCCATGTGACTGGTAGATCTCGGTCTGGGCTTGCCAACCCACCATCCCAGAGCATCAAGCAGAGTGCAATGCAGAGGGACTACTTATAAAGTTGGAGCTGTGGTAGGGAGCAACAGCCGCATTAGCCACTGCACTCCACTTTTTATCCCGACTAGCGGTCTCCAGAGTTGTGCCAGCAGCAGGAAAGAAGAGATCTTCAGGTCAGTGTGAAGCAATACACTGGGCATAATAGTATAGAGCTGCTTTCACACTGATGTGCTGTGGTTTACCCACACCATGGGTGCAGTGTACCTGCAGCTTTCCTGCGGGTTTGCTGCACTTAGCCATAGATTTCTATTATATCCTGCAGGTGTGGTGCACTTTCTTAAAGCATGCCAAAACTGATGAATGCAGGAGCTTTTGTACGCTTTTAGAAAGTGCACCACACCTGCAGGATATAATAGAAGTCTGTGCAAAGCGTACCTAACCCAGAAAAGTTGCAGATGCACTGCGCTGCACATAAGGTGCAGGTAAACTGCGGCACATCAGTGTGAAAGTAGACTTATAGGGGGCTCAGAACAGCGAGGGTTCATTTACATTCGCAGTTTGGGGGGCGGTAAAACCCCATAGTTAAGATGGGTTTTTAGTACCCCTGCCCCAATTGCACCCCTTTTAGCTGCAGTGGCCAGGGGTGTACACACGTCGTAACCGCAGCAGGAGGGTGTAGCACCTGCCAAGCATGACCCATTCAAATGAATGTGGCCGCTCTGCAAGTGCCCTGCAACCTTGTGCAGTACAGCAAACAAGGGGTATAGCAGGCAGCATTGTGTTGCTCTCACACCACCTGCTTTAAAGCCTTGGACTCTGCAGAAGCATGCAGTTGTGGGGTGCTTTCAGAGTGGCCCCATTTACTTGAATGGGTCACGACTGGCAGCGGTAGCACCCACCAAAAGCACAGGGGGTTTAATTCCTGCTGCGGCATGTGTACACCTTTAGCTGCTGCCTCAGCAGCTAAAAGGGGGGTAGGGATTGGGGGCAGTAAAAGCGTGACTCAACCACAGGGCCTTACCACCCCCCAACTTTACATGTGAACGAGCCCCAAGGGTGCTGCTGCCGAATTAAACTAAGGGCTCATTCACAAGTGCAGCAGGCACCGCTGCTCATCTGAAAAGCAATCCAAGTGTTTTTGACAGGTGGTGAGGAGACGATATGTTTCCTCCTCGCCACCTTTAAACCCATGATTGTAGTGCAATGCATGTGACTGCAACACGGTAGCACGGCAATTACAGGTTTAAATCAGGTGTAAGGAGGTGACACTGTGACCAGTGATCTTTAACCATTTCCCATCCGGCCCATGTATATGAATGGCAGGATGGGGGCAGTGCAGGAGCGGGTTGCCGTTCATAAACGGCGCCCGCTATTTTAGCCTGTGCGCACTCCCTGGGAGCACGCGGCACCGTGATCCGGTGCCCGCTGTGTCCTCCAGACACAAAGGAACAGTGATCGCTGTACAGGGCCTCTGTGTGAGGTCCCGATCATGTGATCACTGATTGGCCAATCAGTGATCACATGAATAGTAGTAAGCAAGATGTCACTTCTGACATCATTGCTTACTACGTGTGATATCTGTGAATGATCACAGACATCACATGGTACAAGGCTTTTCACAACAGCCTTGTACCATGTGACAAGCTGTGACCAATCACAGCTCGCACAGTATTTATCAATGGCTGCAAGAATGCAGCCAGAGAGAAGGAGAAATTATTGCTTTTACAGCCTTTATGGGTGACACTGTACTGCTATGGTGACAGTAAGTTAAAAAAAAATTTATATATAAAAAAAATGAAAATGTAAAAAACTTTTTGAAAAATTATAATTTTTGGTTAAACTAATTTTGGTTATTTTTTTTTTTGCTAAAAAGATATCTAAATAAATTTTGGCCAAGATTTATAAAGAAATATTTATTTGCAAAATTTTATAAGAAAAAACACTTTTTTCAAAATTTTTGGACTTTTTCATTTACCGTATTTTCCGGCGTATAAGACGACTTTTTGACCCTTGAAAATCTTCTCAAAAGTCGGGGGTCGTCTTATACGCCGGTACACGTCAGGGGGCACTTTTTAGGGGGGCGGCGCGTGCTGCCGCCGCCCCCCCCCCCTTCCGACGGAAGGGACACCAAGTACAGGGGTGGGCAGAGGGCTGCAGTCTCTTACCTGACTCCCACGACGATCCATCCAGGAAGCGCTGCTCCTTCAGTCACTCCGGCCACTCCTCACTCCTGCCGCTCGGCTCCGCCTCCTCACTGGTGATTGGCCGCCAGAACTGTAGCTCAGGAAAGGCACACAGGCGGCCAATCACGGGCGAGGAGGCGGAGCCGAGCGGACCCGCAAAAATCGAGTGAGGGTAAGTGTGCAGTGCAGAGGTGCTGCTGCAACCACATATGCTGGCTGCAGCAGTACCATACTAGAACAGGAGTCAGCAAGTGTCATTGGTGTCAGTGGGAGGAATAGTGCCCCATCATTGGTGTCACTGATACTAATGATGGGGCATTATTCCTCCCACTGACATCAATGATGGGGCACTATTCCTCCCACTGACACCAACGATGGGGCACTATTCCTCCCCCCACTGACACCAACGATGGGGCACTATTCCTCTCCCCACTGACACCAACGATGGGGCACTATTCCTCTCCCCACTGACAGAGTACTATTCCTCCCACTGACACCAATGTTGGGACACTATTCCTCCCACTGACACCAATGATGGGGCACTATTACTCCCACTGACACCAATGATGGGGCACTATTCCTCCCACTGACACCAATGATGGGGCACTATTCCTTCCACTGACACCAATGATGGGGCGCTATTCCTCCCACTGACACCAATGATGGGGCACGATTCTTCCCACTGATACCAATGATGGGGTGCTATTCCTCCCACTGACACCACGATTCGTTGGGTACTGGGTCTGGGCACGATTCGTTGCTCTGACACCAATGATGGGGCACGATTCCTCCCACTGACACCAATGATGGGACGCTATTCCTCACACGGACACCAATGATGGGGTGCTATTCCTGCCACTGACACCAATGATGGGGCACGAGTCGTTGCTCTGACACCATTGATGGGGCACTATTCCTCCCACTGACACCAATGATGGGGCACTATTCCTTCCACTGACACCAATGATGGGGCACTATTCCTCCCACTGACACCAATGATGGGGCACTATTCCTCCCACTGACACTAATGATGGGACACTATTCCTCCCACTGACACCAATGATGGGACACTATTCCTCACACTGACACCAATGATGGGACACTATTCCTCACACACTGACACTAATGATGGGGCACCATGTCAATGGGAGGAATAGTGCCCCATCATTGGTGTCAGTGGGAGGAATAGTGCCCCATCATTGGTGTCAGAGTGAGTAAGCGTGCCCCATCATTGGAATACCATACCATATTGAAATCAAATCTGATGTTTTTTAATTTTTGGTGTGCGTTGGAAGAGCGGTAGTCTTATACGGCGAGTATAGCCCAAACCCTATATTTTAACAGGAAAAGTAGGGGGTACGCCCAGTAGTCTTATACACCGGTAAATACGGTATATAGCAAAAAAAAAAAAAAAAAAAAATCCCAGTGGTGAATAAATACCACCAAAATAAAGTTTTAGCTATCTAAAAAAATTGCTAAAAAATTAATATGGGTACAGTGTTGCATGACCACACAATTGTCATTCAAAGTGTGACAGCGTTGAGCGTTGAAGTCTGTAAAATTGGTCTGGACAGGAGGGGGGTAAAAGTGTCCGGACTGGAAGTGGTTAACTTCTCCCATGTTGTTCAGGTAGATCTCCACCTCTTTAAGGCTGCCTACCGCTGGCCTACAGTGTTCTTGTTAGACAAAAAAAGAAAAAACAAAAAATCTGTTTTTTTTAGTGTCCAGTCCTCCTGTAGGTAGCAGTATAACCCAGAGGTGATAAATGTCCTGTTTCCTTCAAGGAATGCAAAAGAAGCTAACTTTTTTTGTGGGCTACTTACATTTGTGTTTTTAGAAAAATCTATATTTGCCTTTAACAAGAAAAAAAATGTATTACAGTGACGGACATACTTTTTTATGCCAAAATAAATGTTTTTTATAATATTCAAAAGCTAAATATATTACAAATAAAATGTTGGCGAACATTGATATAGTATTGTTACAGCATTACATATTACAATTACTATAAACAACACATACTATACTTACAAATTCAAGTCCTCCAACTCGCTCTGTAAAGCAAGTAGTAGATCAGTCAGGCTATCACCTGTAGAGGGTGCTGCACAGACTGAAGTCCTGCTTGCTCCAGCAAGGCTAACTGGCTTGTGTCCTGCAGATTTTGAGCGAGTCTGTGTAGTATGTGAGCTCTGGCTTTGATGCTTTATCATGTGCATAACACTCTGCACATTTGCACTCAGAGAATGACTGGTACTGGTAGACTTAAAGAAAGAAAGAAAAGTAAACCATATTACATTACAAAATGTTATGTGCATTCTACATTACAAATAGCAACAAGCCTCACACAACTACCATGCACATGTTTAACTAGTTGTAAGTTCACACAATGTTTTACTAAAAAAAACTAATCTCAGCTTCTATGGACAGTATAACCCTAGAGGTTATGGTGAGAAGGGACTAAATCAATTAAAAAGCCTTCAATCTAATCAGTGAGCAGCACAACAAAATCGAAAAAGGCTTTCTTAAAAAAAAAAAAAAAAAAAAAAAGGGACACGTCTCATTCCATCACATATCCCAAAATAAAGATTATTCCTCATTTTAGAACAATGGGTATACCCATGAAAACCACTGCTTTACACCCCATTGGCCAGATGCGCATCTAGAACTGGTGGTTTATAATGCAAATATGGCCCAATGAGGGTTCAAATTATTTGACCATCACTGGTGCAGTGTACAGAAATAATATACTAGCTTTAGATCATGCTACAAAGCTTGCTAAAAGGTGTGAAAGTTGACATCATGCAGATGCCCTATTAAACTTCACAGCAGATGAGGGATGAGCTTATCAAGTCATGCCTAGGCTCTGCTGCAGGAACAGATCAAATCAATAAATACCCTTCTACTAGCTGATAGCTGTGAATAACAGTTCATGTTTATAACAGATCAGCTGCTAAAGAGTTAGATAAGTGACATGATCACTATCCTAGGTGACTTTAGCATTCACAATATAGATGTTTGATATTTTTCCAAGAATGTACAATAATCCTTTAGCTCATTTGAAAACACAAACTTGCACTATTACAACCCAATTTCTGTCTGTACGAATGCATCATCTTAATGTTTCTCTAAATAATTGCATTGATTATTTTGATTTCAACCATTTTACATTTTGAAGGCTGCATTTTCCTTCAAAAACAGGAAGGCGTTACAGTAAATGTTAGAGATACGTTGGAGAAATAGGCAAGTGCACTAATTAATCTACTGAACACTGAAACACTAGGGAAAAATACCACAAATGTATACATGTACAGTATATATTTTATATTGTAATGCAGACTACAGTGGACAACTGCTATGTTGCACAAATAGGACATGTCTGGGGGGAAAAAAAAAAAAAGATTTAATGTATGCAGGTTTAGCAATTAGATGTAAATCATTTGATTAGTGTCAGTACTGCTTAGCAATAGGCACCTTTCTTTACTCATATGCCCCCCTTTTCTTTTTCTTCTTGTATTACCTTTCGTATTACAATCACCTTTGATAATTATTAAATTAATACTATGTATGATTTAGATGTATGATTTAGGGTCCAAGTACACGAAGGGCAGAAAAGTAGTTCTGCCAGAAACAGTGGCAAAAAAAGGGACTTGTAGTGGCTTGTATCGCACAAGAGTTTAGGAGAGTTTATGGGCATTTGCTTTTATAAGCGTTTTTTCCAAAACATTACCCTCCGCTCACTTTTCACTGTAATCTATGCACATCTGAAAACGTGCTTGAAAGCGCCTCTCAAAAATGCAATTCTAAAAAGATTTTTTTATCTGCTTCTAAACGCTTATCTAAAACCATTGCTGTAAACTCCCTAATGTGCATAGACATATAGGCTAACCTAAGCTGCTCCTACAGGCTGAAGAAAAAAAAAAAAAAAAAAAAAAAAAAAAGGAAAAGAAAAATGCCAGTATAAGTAGCATTATTTATGCCCAGTATGCATAAACCCTAAAAGTGTTTATTAACATTTTCCAACCAAAAATATATATATATTTGTGTTTGGAAAATGTTAATAAACACTTTATGGGAAAAAAGGATTCCTTAGATCAGTGGTAGCCCTCAAAGTCTATGAATAGTGTACGGTCTCCCCACTAGTTCCACTAATTCGTAACCTATTTAAGAGATTGTGTAGAGGCATTTGTTTGCATCTTAGCGGCTTTTCTTCCCTATGCAATGGGAAGGCAGCTCCACTCATAAGTAAGCCAAAAGCAACTTAAAACCAAGGTACATGGTACAAGGAGCCTGACACCTGTGTACATGACACCACAATCTGGAGACATTGTCAGATTTTGTTTCAGTTACATTTAGCAACAACTATGTAATGGGAGGGCACACCTAAACCATCCATTCAAGTTATATCTAATGATACAGAACCTCACATTTCACCATTTGTGGTCAGTTTTGTACACCAGGCATAACAAATCTAAAATATACTCTAGGAAGTGTGAAGCCAATAAAAGAAAAACAACTCTGCTGCTTATTGTGACTCACTAGCTTAGTGTTGTCAGCTTGCTACAAGAAGTGCAGTTACTGGCAGGATTTCCAGCTAAGAAACTTTGCAACAAATTCAGAAAAAAAACCAAAAACAATTTTCTTAGGAAAACTGTAAACAGTAAAGCTGGCCATACATGGATCGAAATTTCGCCTGTTCAACAGGCATCGGACAAAATTTACTTCCATGTATGACTGTTGCCATTCATGAGAAGCTATCAACTGACTTTTCATAAACAGGCTTGTTGGAAAATTTGAACTCTATCAGCACATGCAGACAATGGGCTGCAGCGCTGATAAGTAATACACATGATTGTGTGTATGGGGAACGGCTCAGTTTTTTGGCCATATATGGCCAGCTTAAGACATGATACCAAACATGCTGAAGTATTTATTTAGGGTTTACATAGACTTTACTACTCAATACATGACTTGATTTTGGTGCTTTTATTTCCTTCACTATATGTGGACACTGGTTTCTGCTTCTGCAAAACTACCGACTACTTTCACAATGGAACTTGCCAACAGAGATGAAAAAAATACATAAATAAATACTCACCTTACCAGCTACAAAGGGGAGATCACCTGCCTTCAAAGACATCCTCAAATCAGAAGCAGATCTACTTATTGCAGGTTTCTTCTGCTTAAAACAAAAGTATTATTACAAACATATGAAAATTATCTACCAACAAAATACAAACTAGCACTAGTGCAAAATTTACAAAAAAAACCTCAAAAAACATGTGACACGTAGACAAAATGCTGCCCCTTTGTCAACATTCTATAGTATATAATGCATGTTTTTAAGGCTTCCTTTTCCTACTACAGAAATAGCAGTATTTAAAAAAGCGACATCCATATTTGTACAGAGGCTTGACTACTTCTGATTAAAAAAAAGAACAATGCAAAAGATAGCAATTAGTTGATTTACACCAATGCAAATGATTTCCAACTTGAAAAATAAAATAAAAACCCCACTTAAATGCCATTTTGTATATAAAAGTAATAATAGGTTTATTCTTCTCTTTTAAGCACTCAGGTGATGTAATCAGCATTACTTCTTCATCTTTTCTGCATTATAATTACCTGTAATTGCTTCTTTTTCTTTACCTTCTGCTGGGAAGTATTCTGAGCAGCCGCAGACAGAAATATTCTGTTTACTTCAAGTCCACTTTCAAGCTATAAGATAAGAAAGCAACACAGAATGAAACAAGGCCAGCATTTACACAACAGAGTAATACAGTTCACATTACCATATGGACATAACCGGTATAATTACCATAAACAGGCCTTTTATTTACTGTTCAGAATGAACCTTGATAGCAATCTAACTGGAAAAGCATATGATATGATGGTTTCCACAGCTGGCTACAGACAGTACAGGGTGGTCAGATTTGCAGATATGATCTGGCAGCCCTGAGAATCTTTGCCTGTCTGAACGTTTCTAAATAGGCTAAGGCAGGCCATACATCAAGTCATTTTCTTTTCTTCAACCAAGAGTTGAAGGAAAGAAAATTACTTGATTCCCCCCTAAACACTGACTGTGTGAATCCCATCTGCTATGCCATTGTATTCTGACAGCGGGAGGTTACCTAGCCATCAGAATACAATGATCACTGCTGGCGGCCATAGCTGCTGGTAGCGATCGAACAAAAAAAAAAACCCGACAGGCTGAATTTCAATACATCTATGGCCAGCTTTATAGAGAGAGGTGATGAAACACTCCACAAACAAGTATTCGTTCTTAAAGGGGGGGGGGGGGAAGCAATTGGACAAGATTTTCTTACCTGTTCAGTCACTATTCCTCCTGATGAGCCTTGAGTGGCATTGTCTGCAGAAAGCTTACAGGCAGTAGGCATGGTCAGATCATCAGACTGTTATAAAACGTCTATGGACACCATAAGCTACATATCACTATTTTAGCTACCAGCCACTACAGAACATCTATGGAAACTTATTTCTGCTAGTTCTCAAAAAGTGTCTGTCAAACCTAAAAGTTGAGTTCACCACTTTATGATATAGACCAATCCAGCTTACAAAACCACTTAAGCTGGCCATACACTGATTGACTTTGCTTAGTGGGTGGCCCTGTCAGGCAACTGCCTAGCTGTCAGAATACAAAAGCTGCAGAAGTATTTTTGTGGCTTGAGGATTCTTAGATTTTATAATCTTTCAACCTGCAGGCTCAACAAAAAAAAATCATGTGTGTATGGCCAGTCTTAGAACTCAAGATATTAGAGTGCCTTATGAAACACCTATATAATTAATGGATACACAGGCTGAATAGTTAACTGTCGTAACACCCCACAGGGTGCCTTTGTAGTGTTCTTAACCTACTTTTGAATGTAGGTCAGGTTTAAAAACACTGATTCGGATCAACAATAAATGCAAAACTAAGTTACCTGGACTGCTTTATTCTCCATTAATTTACGCTGCTGTTCCTCTGCATACAATTTCTCCTCTAACTGACGAATCTTGTTCTAAAGCAAATAAAAAAAAATCTGTAATAATGCTCCATAAGCCTGAGTTTTCACATTTTGTGCTCTCAAACAGATCATTAAACACAAAAAAGTCCCACGGTTGTGTGGGTTTTGAACAGCGTTCTTTGCTACTGTTAACAAAGGAGGTGACATCTTATTCCATTTTGTAGCTGTTGAAAATTTTAAGGGACTATTGCTGTATATAAAATGTGGTGTTCTGCTTTATTATATACATTCAAGGAACAGATATGTTTGATGAACAGATGCATCAGCAAGGCTACAGCCTCTAGAGTTGTACAAGCCAACTGTATTATAAAAAGTATATATGCTGACTTTAGAAAATAGTTTCCTAATTACATCTTCCTATAGCCTTGAAAAAGGGGGGACTCTTAAGAGCTGTAATTCCTAAACCATTCCTTCAGTTTGGATGTACATACCCTAAAATTATACCTGAGAGTGTGCACGTTCAGTTCATATCCATTATATAATAGCTTGAATATATTTTGGTAAATACCTGAAAAAAAAAACTAAAAAAAGTGTGCCTGTGTCCACATATATATGGACCTAACTGTATGTGTGTGTGTGTGTGTGTGTATATATATATACAGTCAGGTCCATAAATATTGGGACATCGACACAATTCTAACATTTTTAGCTCTATACACCACCACAATGGATTTGAAATGAAACAAACAAGATGTGCTTTAACTGCAGACTGTCAGCTTTAATTTGAGGGTATTTACATCCAAATCAGGTGAACGGTGTAGGAATTACAAGTTTGCATATGTGCCTCCCACTTGTTAAGGGACCAAAAGTAATGGGACAATTGGCTTCTCAGCTGTTCCATGGCCAGGTGTGTGTTATTCCCTCATTATCCCAATTACAATGAGCAGATAAAAGGTCCAGAGTTCATTTCAAGTGTGCTATTTGCATTTGGAATCTGTTGCTGTCAACCCTCAAATTAAAGCTGACAGTCTGCAGTTAAAGCACATCTTGTTCGTTTCATTTCAAATCCATTGTGGTGGTGTATAGAGCCAAAAATGTTAGAATTGTGCCGATGTCCCAATATTTATGGACGTGACTGTATATATATATATACATATACACACACATCTATCACAATTTAATCCAGATATGAATAATTAGCTGTATTTTAGATATATTTAAGCATAAATACATGTGTCATTTCTATAGGACAATATAGACCAGTGATGGCGAACCTTTCAGAGACCGAGTTGCCAAACTGCAACTCAAAACCCACTTATTTATTGCAAAGTGCCAATACTGCAGTTACGTCTGAATACTGAGGTTTTAGATTACAAAAAACTACTCATACATTAACATCTTTTGTTTTAAAAGAAAAAACACAATAACAGAGAAGGAAACAAACAGATTTTGTTGGTAAAAGTTTTCTTTTGGAGTGCCTTTGCACAATTAATGTTCACCTAATCACCAATATGGAATGTATTGGGGTGGATGATATGTACAGGAGAGGGGTACGGAGTGTGTGGTGGTGGGTGATATGTACAGGAGAGGAGTGTATGGCGGTGGGCAGGGCTGCTGTTAAAAACCATGGGGCCCCATACAGCCAACCTGACACCCCCCCCCCCCCCCAAAAAAAACAAAACAGTTTACTATACTTCAGTTATGAATGAACACAGCGACTGATCACTCACTGTGTTAATTTAGGAAAGGAAGGGGCTGGTAAATTAGATATTTACTGAAACCTTCCCCCACTCTCCATCCAGAAGGATCCTACTGTATGCCTGCAGCTGCCGGGGGGAAGGAAAGGAGGGTAGCCAGCAGCACTGTGGGGGTGGGGGGCTGAAACATATGGTGCACAAGGAGGGTGATGAGGGGCAATTACTGGAACTGATCCCCTAGTGGGTTGCTGTGGATGTAGTGAATGCTTGATAAGCAGTGGGATCAGGTGTGGGGATTTGTTATCCAGGGTGCAGTGATGCAGGCAGAGATTCTGTCATTTACCTTCTACAAAACAGATACAGAGGTACAGAGGCAGTGTAGTTCAGAGCGGCAGGAGAGGATCGCGGCAGCGCTGCATAGTGAAAGAAAACAGGAGCTGGAGTGGGGGTCAGCTGTCAGACTCTTCCCGATGGGCTGCATGCAGGGACTTAAGGACTTCTATCACCCAATGACCATACACAGTACTGAGTGATGGCAGCAGTGCCCCCCAAGGTCGGCCGTGATGTGCTCATCTATGGGTGCACTGTTGGTCAGAGCACAGCTCCTCCCTGGGCCCCCCTGCTAGGTGACAGGGCCCAGGCCCCCTACAGGAGGGCATGATGGTACCCCCTTATCGGCGGCCCTGCGGAGTGAGGACGACTTTCCAGACTGATCTGGGAGGAGGGTCCAGTGACAGGTGACAGACGGATGCTGTTCCCTCTGGTCTGAACTCCGTCCTCTCCACTCTCTCCGCAGTAACTGATCACCCCTCCCTGCAGTCATATGTGGTCATATAGAGGCCCTACTCCTTTCCGAGCAGCCGATGCTCGGCTGCTGGGGCAACTTGGCGCTGGCATGCCGACAGAGAGGGCTCTGCGTGCCCACTGCGGCACGCGTGCCATAAGTTCGCCACCACTGATGTAGACTATAAGAGGGTGTTTTAAACAAAACAATTAGACCTGTGCCACAGTTTCTCTAATGGGTAATATATGATGCAGCTGGTATTCTATTTGAATAAAAACACCAAAACATATTTAAAATAAAGTGAACAGCACTATTAACTGCTCTTTAGCACTAAATATGTATATAGCTCAAAAATATACAGTTGCAAGAAAAAGTATGTGAACCCCTTGGGATTACGTGGAGTTTTGCATGAATTGGGCATAAAAATGTGCTCTGAACGTCATCTAAGTCACAACAATAGAAGAACACAGTCTGCTGAACATAATACTACACAAACATTAGATGTTGCCATGGTTTAATTGCACATAACATGTAAACATTCACAGTGCAGGGAGGAAAAAGTATGTGAACCTTTGGACTTAACTGGTTGACCCTCCTTTGGCAGCAATAACCTCAACCAAACGTTTCCTGTAGTTGCAGATCAGACCTGCACAACGATCTGGAGTAATTTTGGACCACTCCTCTTCACAAAACGGTTTCAGTGTAGCAATATTCTTGGGATGTCTGGTGTGAATCGCTCTCTTAAGGTCATGCCACAGCATTTCAATCGGGTTGAGGTCAGGACTCTGATTGGGCCACTCCAGAAGGCGTATTCTGTGCTGTTGCAGCCATTGTATTGTTGAATTATTTGTATGCTTTGGGTCATTGTCCTGTTGCATCACCCATCCTCTGCGGAGCTTCAGATGGCAGACAGATGGTCTTACGTTTTCCTGCAAAATGTCTTGATAAACTCTGGAATTCATTTTCCCATCAATGACAACAATCCGTCCAGGCCCTGAGGCAGCAAAGCAGCCCCAAACCATGATGCTCCCTCCGCCATGTTTTACAGTGGGGATGAGGTTTTGAGGTTGGTGTGCTGTGCCTTTTTTTCTCCACACATAGTGTTGTGTGTTCTTCCCAAACAACTCAATCTTGGTTTCATCTGTCCACAGTATATTTTGTCAGTAGTGCTGTGGAACATCCAGGTGCTCTTTTGCAAACTTCAAACGTGCTGCAATATTCTTTTTGGACAGCAATGGCTTCCCCCGTGGTGTCCTCCCATGTACTCCATTCTTGTTTAATGTTTTCCTTATTGTAGATGTGTCAACAAAAATGTTAGCATGTGCCAGAGATTTCTGTAGGTCTTTAGCTGGCACTCTGGGATTCTTCTTTACCTCATGCAGCATTCTGCGCTGTGCTCTTGCAGTCATTTTTACAGGATGACCACTCCTAGGGAGAGTAGCAACAGTGCTAAACTTTCTCCATTTGTAGACAGTCTGTCTTACCGTGGACACATGAACATCAAGGCTTTTTGAAGATACTTTTGTAACCCTTTCCAGCTTCATGCAAGTCAACAATTCTTGATCGTAGGTCTTCTGAGAGCTCTTTTCTGCGAGACATGGTTCACATCAGACAGTGCTTCTTGAAACCAGTAATCCCAAAACAGGTGTGTTTTTAAGGGCAGGACAGCTGTCAGCAACACATCCAATATCATCACACTGATTGGAGTCAAGGTTGGCTCACTCCTGGCTCCAATTAGCTCTGGGAGAAGTCATTAAGCTAGGGCCTCACATACTTTTTCCTCCCTGCACTGTGAATGTTTACATGTTATGTGAAATTAAACCTTGGCAACATCTAATGTTTGTGTAGTATTATGTTCAGCAGACTGTGTTCTTCTATTGTGACTTAGATGATGTTCAGAGCACATTTTATGCCCAATTCATGCAAAACTCCACGTAATCCCAAGGGGTTCACATGCTTTTTCTTGCAACTGTATTAAAGTGCAATTGTGCAACATATAACCAACCATAGAATGCATATACAGTTCAGTCCATATATATTTGGCACAATTGTAGATTTTTCAGGTATTTACCAAAACATATTCAAGCTATAGTTATATAAAGCATAGGAGGTTGAAAGTGCACACTCTCAGCTTTAATTTGAGGGTATGTACATCCAAATTGGAGGAAGGGTTTAGGAATTACAGCTCTTAAGGAGTAGCCATCCCCCCTTTTTCAAGGGACCAAAAGTAATTGGACAACTGAATCAATAGCGATTTCATGGCTAGGTGTGGGCTACTCCATTATTTCTTCATCAATTAAGCAGGTAAAAGGTCTGGAGTTTATTCTAAGTGTGGTATTTGCATTTGGAATCTATTGCTGTGAACCTACATCATGCGTTCAAAGGAGCTGTCCATGCAAGTGAAACAGGCCGTTATAAGGATTCAAAAACTAAACAAATCCATCAGAGAGATAGCAGCAACATTAGGAATGACCAAATCAACAGTTTGGTACATTCTGAGGAAAGAATGAGCTCAGCAACATAAAAAGGCATGGAAATAAATGGAAGACAAAAGTGGTAGATCATTGCAGGAT